TCTCTCTCTCTCTCTCACACACACACACACACACACACACACAAAACTGGGCAAAAGTGGGTAGCTTTGTAAGAAAAAGAAATTTCTACCTGGGGAAAAATATCATTGTGCAATATGCTCCACAGGAATCTGAGACTACATTTTTCCCCATCCCGTAGTATTTGCTTCCTTGAAAATATTGGACATTTATATAGTGTCAGTAGTGACAGTAATGATGTTACGGTTGTTTAATTCCAATGATATGGGACAAAATAAATGATATTGGAATCTGATTATCTCTTTACTGATACTGATGTAATAATCATATAATAATTACAATTGAATTATACTTTACTCTATATGGCACCTTTATCTAAAGATCTCAGCATGCTTTACAGAGATGCACTCTCACAAAGCACGTGAGTGATGCATAAAGATTTATAGCCAACTTCAGTAGGTTAAACTATATCACACATAAATACAGTATCATATATAACAGTGAATCAGAAACTAAAGAAGATGAACCAAATATTTAATTTGGATAAAATTACCAACTTTTAACATACAGATTATAAGGAGTTTCCAGTGAACATATAGTTTTGCAGGAATGAAAGACTCAGATAAATGATCCAATATTGCTGATGTAGAATACTTGGTTTGGTGATTGCTTGTTGACAAGAAATAGTCTGTATCAGGAAACATGGTCTTGTGTTGGGATTACCAGTATAAAATAGGAAGAAGGTTTATTTTTCTTATTGACTTTGTGATAGGCTTCTTCTGCCCCCACCCTACTGCATATACCTTATGCTTTTGATATAATCTAACAGTGAAGATGTACAGTCAGAATTATATTCACACATTATCATCCCTACAGAGACAAGGGACAGAAACAAATAATTCAACCATCAGCTAAGTTATATTTTAAGCATTTTTTACATGTAGCTGCTTTATTATACAGTTATAGCTTGTTGTACAATTACAATTTGGGGAAAAGGTGAACCTCTGGGAATTCTGTGCTGAAATGTAAGTATGTAATGGTCAGTGTTCCAGATCAACCAAGAACAACCTCTTTTTTGCTCTGTCAGTCAAAAGGAACATGTTCTGGGAACCTGAAACATTCTGAACCCAGGTTTCAATGTGGTCATCTTCTTTAAGAACTCATATTCCACATTGAATGCTTATGTTGACACTTGGGCACATTAACAGGAATATTGTGAGCAAAACACAAGAAGAAATTCTTCCCTTCCACTCTGCACTGATTGTGAGAGTATTGTTTCCAGTCTGGGCACCACATTTCAAGAAAGATGTGGAAAAATTGGAGAAGGTCCAGAGAAGAGCAACAAAAATGATTAAATGTCTAGAAAACATGAGCTATGAGGGAAGACTGAAAGAATTGGGTTAGTTTAGATTGGAAAAGAGAAGACCAAGAGGGGACATGATAGCAGTTTTTGAGTATCTGAAAGGATGTTACAAGGAGGAGGGAGAAAAATTGTTCTGCTTGGCCTCCGGCAATAGGACAAGAAGCAATGGGATTAAACTGCAGCAAGGGAGGTTTAGGTTGGACACTAGGAAAAACTTCCTGTCAGGGTTGAAGCACTGGAATAAATTGCCTGTAGAGATTGTTGAATCTCCATCATTGGATATATATAAGAGCAGGCTAGAAAGACATCTATAAGGGATAATCTAGATGGTGCTTGGCTCTGCCATGAGGGCAGATGCCTGTATTTGATGACTTCTTGAGGTCCCTTCCAGTTCTAGTGCTTTACGATTCTATGAAAATGGTAAGTGGCTGCAAAAGAGGCAGTGCTCATGTCTGGGACTTACATACCTAAAATTCTGCATCCACATTTCTGCATTGGTTTATCTGTGGAGAAAAGCTCTGAAAATGCTACTCTATGGTCAGTGCAGTGCCACATCAATTGAAATGCAGCTTAAAATGCAATGTGGAGCTTTCAGTTGTCGCTTCACAAAGTATTATGCTGAATCTGGACATTTGCATAATTTAATTAATTATGCCACTAAAAACTGATTTTCTCTCAATTTAAAGCAAACTGCTTTTATAAGAGTGAACTACAGCACCCAGGGATATCAGGTGTCCAAGCTCTTAATCCTATTACAAAGAGTTGACAACTACTGATGGAAACTGGAAAACATGAGCCTTCAGCAGAGCAACAAGTAAGAAGGAAGAAGACAACAGATTTTTAAAGCTTTTTCAAACGACTGTATGGTTTTTAAATCAAATTTTAAAAAGCAACTGAATTGGCAGCTTGCACTTTTCGTGGTTCAGAGAGTGAATTCTCTCTAAGGGCTAACACTTATTTTACTTAGGCATAAATGAAACTAACTATCTTCTCTGAGAGGAAAGCTGTTGAGCTTAACTCTCCTAACTAAAGTGCAGCAAATGGCCTATGTTTGCTATTTGTATCTATACCTGTCCACTTTCAGATGTTTAAGAGTGCAAGATGCTGTACCTTATAAGTGGTTTCTAATGTTATGGGTTAGAAACTGGCTATGAGTAATTTTTATTGTAAACTAATATTGTCAAACAATCTCAAATTCTAAGTTTCAAAGTGTCAGTCACAAACTAAGCACTAGCTTTAATAGTAGTGTCTTCTTTCTTTCATAACAGTATTGGGTTTTGATGAAACTGAAAACAATTGGGTACATGAAGGGCTGAGGTATACGGTTCATTCAAATGTAGAAATTCTCAACTTTGACAACAATTGAAATTCCCTAACCAGAAATCTTATGACCGACCTTGCCACATTCTGTGGCATGTTAAGAAACAATATAACAGTTGTAGTTACTTAATAACGATTCCATCCTTAGAGCCCTGTGAGGATACAAAATTTGTATCTGCATCCAATCCATGACCTGCAAACATGGTTTGTGGATATCCACAGATATAAAGCAGATATCCACAGGTTTGCAGGTTTCTATTTATCTACACTTCAAATGCCAGAGCTAGATGGGGCATGATGAAATTGACCCTATCATGATTGACACATCTATGAAATATTGAAAGCTTGCTACCACTTGTTGCACTAATATGATTTCACCTTAACATGCTTGCCTCATTTTTTCCACTTTCCTATGGCAAAGAATACATTTTGTCAAAAATGTATTTTTTCTTAATAAGTTCCCTTCTCTTCTCATCTCTTCTCTTCACTAACAGCTGATTTTGGTGGGGAAGTGGAAAAAATCAGTAAAAAGGATTTTTTGAAAAGTGAACTTGCTGGTAATATCAGAACTTTACATTAAATAGTGACTTAAAACTCAGTCTCACCCATGGTCTGTGTTACTGAACCTGTGCAGAAATATCTGACTTTCCAAACTACATGGTGATATGACTTCCCTTCAGATTTGAGGATCAAGTCCTAAGAATCACCGTGCATTAGCCAGACTGGTCTTAAACTAACTATAAACATTTCATAAAGGTTGTCAGAATTTCTTGTAAAATGATAACGAGGATAAAGATATCTGGTTTAATTGATTCTTTTCATTGCTTAATAAAATTGCTCTGTTTGACTGCTATGAGAATTTGGACTCAATTTTCATTACCTATTCCTGAACAATTTACACTGGGATCTAGCCAGTATTGAGCTAATGAGTTAGAATGTATATTGAACCTTTACTGGTTTGATGAAGTAGCTTGGGAAGGAAAATCATGGCAATAATTGAGTATTTTTCATTATATACTACGTTATATAGCTTTTATAATCAGGTTTTTAATAAATCTAAAGAAATTAAACTGGACATTTACCAACTTCTGTGCTTTTGTCATCTCATGTAAAAGGATTGTTTAAAATGGTTAAGACAAATGCGCTGATCCAACTCCTATCAAAGTTATTGGAAATCTGAGGGTCCTTACTGCTGATGAGATAATAGTAAAAACTGTTATGAAAAGTTGCACAAAATGCATTTTAATATAATCTTTAAAGGTTCAAAATTGGGCAGCATAAGTTACTTACTGAAACCTCCAGTGAGACTCCCCTCCTGCACACATACTTTGCATGGAAGTCACTGGAGCTTTCTGAGTAAGAAGTTCAAGACTATGTAACATATTATATAGTCTCAGTGACATATAGTTTTTTTTAAAGATCTCTTCAGTTTAGGGGTCACTTAAAGTACACTTCCATAATGTAGAAATCAATAACTTATTCATATAAATGAAATACTGATATAATTTTTTAACTGAGTTATTCTGTTTTACTGAGTTATATTGCAGTGTGCTGATGTTCATGGCAGTGAACAATCTGTTTTCTTGGATACATAAAATGCTGTTATGCTCAGTACATATTGGTGCAATTCATTGCTTGCTGTTAGTGGGCTTTCATAAGTGGAAGACCTGCAGGATTAAACTCGTCATTTCTTATATTTAATGGAATGAAATAAAAATTGAATATACAATAATGAAATATGTTGACCATACATAAAAGAGCATTTCTGTTGACGCAACCAGTGAGCAAAAATTTTAATTGCTGTCTAGATTTATTTTAAACCAACACCTAAGAACAAATACGAACATAATTAATATAGCCATAATCAGACAATGCAAACTTTACAAGTTAACACCATCTATCACATATAAAACAAATGGTATATTTCCTTCCAGTTCTACTCATTAAGAATTATGGAAATACAAGTAAAAATATCATTATGGAAAATACTTACTATCGATTAAAATGTATTGTTGATTTCTCATTGAAACTATTCTGTCTTCTAGCCAAGGATTAAGAATTCAAAGTGTATATACCTCTCCAAATGAATCAGCACAATCATAACATCCATAAGTTCATATTTACAAATATAAATTCCAAATGTCACCCTCATCTATCTGAAAAAGGTAGATTTTCTTTCTAGTGACTGCAAACAAAACACCTCCCATCCCCAACCCATACATTACAAATACTAATTTGTCATTCACAAAATGGGTTACATTGGTAGCCTTGCTTGCAAATTCAGACATTGCAAATTTGGAATATTCCTGCATCCAAATAATTTATATTCATTCCCCACAGGCAGCAGTGATGGTTCTTGGGATAAAGAAAAACTTCAGTCTCCCCCCACCCAAGGATCACAGGCCTCTGTTAACCACCCCAGCTTGCCTGGACAGCATAATCTTCCAGTTAGTCATCCTCTCAACCCTCTTCAACAGAACCACCTTCTGCCAAATGGTACGGGTTGACATCTTTCACCAGTAACATCAGTAGTTTTTGAGCTCCTGTCTTTCTATTGTATTTAAATAAATAGGCTGTGCAAAACTTTTAAAAAAGTGGGGGGGGATATTGTAATACTTTTAAATATTCAGCAAGAGAAGTAAGGGCTTAAAGAATAAAAACAAATACAGCAAACCTACCATTTAAATAGCTATTAACCTGTTCAGCACTGGCGTGATTATTGCCAAGACACTTTACTACAGGTAAACAAATAACAATTTTTTAACAATGCTATGGTAAAACACTACCATATCAGCAAATGGATCGGAACAAACTAAGATATCTGTTAGCCTCTCCCTGTGCATATAAGACCTCCATAGATACTACAGGATATTACACACATGTATAAAAAGGGAACAGATTCATTTAACTGCTCTGTACTGAAATGTTGGAAGAGTATATTTATGAATGCTTTTGGTTCAAAACCTTTTAATATATTTTGCCCATTTATTTTTTTCTTAGGCCTGGAACTTCCTTTTATGATGATGCCCCATCCCTTAATTCCTGTCAGCCTACCTCCAGCATCTGTCACAATGGCCATGAGTCAGATGAACCACCTTAGTACCATTGCAAACATGGCAGCAGCAGCACAAGTACAGAGTCCCCCCTCCAGAGTCGAAACATCTGTTATTAAGGTAAACATCTAGAAAAATATCTCTTGTACTAAATTAATTTCTTTACAGCCTGGTATCTTATTAATTTAAGTCTGTGTTCATCAGATGTCATAAGGTAAGCAGTCATAAACACAGGGTTTGGTCATTCTTGAAAAAGGATCTGACATGCATCTGACGAAGTGGGTCTTTGCCCACGAAAGCTTATGCTCCTACACTTCAGTTAGTCTATAAGGTGCCACAGGACTCCTCGTCGCTCTTGAAAAAGGAGAGCTCTGAGGAGAATCCACTTTCCGTGGAAATTGGTTCTGGGAACTGATTATTACATTGGTAACTGAAAAGTCTGAATACTGAATATTTCAAATTCAGGTGCTCCAGGTCAGCAGTTGGATTTCCCATTTGTGAGATGAGATATAGATACTGACTATTCTTCGTCTAAAATAGTAAACTCTATAAAGCTGGGTGGCTGAGTTACCATGAGTACCATGACCCCCATGAGGGGTGTTGTTTTAGTCTGTGAGGCTTAGATGGAGAATAAAACTGTAACAAATATATTTAAAAATTCTTAACCTCCCCCCAAAAATCTGTATACTGTTCTGTGTCATCATGAACTCCACAGCTAGCATCAGGGGTATCCAAATAAATGAGCTTAGGTTATCTTGTCTTTAAAATCAACAGTTTTTTTAGTCCAGCTGCACTTCTCATTCATTCATTCATTGATGTCTATCTCCCTGACTGCTAAGTATAAGCACTTCCACCCCAACAGCACTTTCTCACTCACTTTCCAAATCCCTACCCTATTTCCAGTTGTATCCCAGCTATTTGGGGAGAGAAACATATTAACAAGATTTTGAGATGTAGCTAATTTTCAGTGCCCCAATTTTTGGTTGCCTACCTTGAGACATCTTACAAACAAATCCTTTTCCCTTGTCACTTAAAAATTATTAGTAATTTTTAAAAATCTTGACCTTTTGTATGTGTGTGTGTGTGTGTGTGTGTGTGTGTGTTTGGGTTGACCTGCATAACTCACTCCAGAGGAAATCAGCCATCCTATATTCATGCTAATAAAACCTTCATCATAACTGTCAAATTTTGTGTAGCTCCATGTGACATTTTATGCAGATTATTTAATGAGACAATTTGCATAGTTATGTCTAATTTGCATGTAGCTGTATATGCCATCTTTAAAAAAACATGTGAATTTATGTTATTTTTAAAAGTGTCTAAGTGACTTATGGTTAAATTTCCATTTTCAGAAAGGTCTTAAGTCATTTAGGTGCTTTTAAAATGTTGTTCTTATGGCCAGCATGCCTCCACTCTAATTTGGGGGAACCTTCCTTTGCAACTCATAGAGGCAGCTCAGGGTCCATGGACAGCGAAGTCTTAGCCTCTTCTGAATTTGCCAATTTATGCGAAGAGGGGTGTTGAGTTTGTGATGTGGAGACTGCATCTCCTCTCCTTTCAGCTGTACAAAGAATTAATTAATAGGTACAGTTTTTAACCCCAACAGAGTTGAGTTGGAATCATACTGGTAATCTACACAGCAAAAAGACTCTGAGGGCACTAGCAATGTCCTGAGGCATCTCGTTCCCTAATATGTGTTCATATTATAGGAAAGCTTGTATTTGGAAAGATAAATTTATCATATTAAATTCTGATATCTTAGAAACCATACTGTCTTCAGTCTTTGTCAGACAAACCCTGTGATATATAACTCACCTTTCTTTCCCATTAACTAAAATACAGACATAAAAATTATAGCAATGAAACAAATATGAACAGAACATCCAAATTCACTGTTAAACATAGTAGAAAATATATTCAACAGAAGTATGAGGATGCTAGATGAATTTGTGAATATTCTTTCTGGCCCTAATTGGTCATCAAGCAAGTTTGAGCCCACAAGAAAGAAAGAGCACAAACCAGAAGTGTCACATTACTCATCACTCTTTGGGTATGTCTAGACTACAGAGTTTTGTCGACAAACTATACCTGCGTCTACACTACCGCTGAGTTCTGTCGACATAACATCGACAGAACTCAGCAGTTTTGTCGACGCTGGTAAACCTCATTTTACGAGGCATAACGCCTTCTGTCAACAGAGTTCTATCGACAGAAGGTGTTATTGCATGTAAACTGTCCTTTGCGTCTACACTACCATGTCGACAAAGCAGCTTGCTTTGTCAACAGAACTGGATGTAGTCTAGACACTCTTTGTCGACAGAAGCTTTGTCGACAGTATCTGTCGACAAAACTTCTGTTGACAAAAGCCTGTAGTCTAGACGTACCCTTTGAGTGTGTCAGACTATAGGGTTTTTTTTAAAAAAAAGTGGTCTTTTTTCGAAAAAACTTCCCCTGCATCTCGACTGCCGCCGCGTTCTTTTGAAAGTAAATCGAAAGAACACAGCAGTTTTTTCGATAGCGGAAAACCTTGTTTTATGAGGAAGAATGCCTTTTTTCAAAAGTGCACTTTCAAAAAAAGGCAGTATGTAATGCAAACTGTGCTTTTTCGG